TATGTGCATAACTTTTCTGCTACAAATAGTCTCCCAAAATCTTCGGAAATTATCGAGGTAGTTAAATGTTTGCTTTAATCTCTGCAAGGTCAGGCCTCCGATACACTTCTCAAAATCCATTATGAAGATATTTGCCTAAATGCTTACCTCTCAACTGATGCCCTCAGTTTATAAATTTCACAACCAGGGTGCACACGGAGGACAATATGCCTCAAACTCCAGATTGGAACACTCCCAACGGCCAAACAGGACTGTGCTATTCCCCTTTACAGAGCCTGGCACAACTCGGGGCATGACCATACCACTGCCAAGCGGTAGGTTTTCTTCTTTGACACAAAGAGAAAACACAGGAACGCTCTCGGGTAGTCTGAGCATGTGATGAGGTCTCCAGGCTGTGCTTGTCATTAGATAAATAACAGCCAAGTGTTAGTATAAAGGAGAGAGCCTAGAAGTCGGCCGTAGCATAATGCATGGCCAAGCACGGGCCATGCTAAGTGATTGCCCAAGTGCTCACAGCTGCTGAAAAGGCCAGACATGGCTTATCTGCCTAACCCAGCCACTGCAGACCTCACAAACACATCCTTGTTAGATAAGAAGAATTTTATATTGGTTTGTTTGCCTTAAAAAAAAAAAAAATAAAACAGAAGGGAAAAAAAAAGGGAAAGGTGATGGAGATGTCTTAAAGTCAGGTGATATAAAATATTTTCTTACGGCTTTCGCTGACATTCAGTTTTATTAGATTGACTGTAAGCTCAACAAATGCAGTCCAAGAACAGTGTGGGTCTGTAGAAATGTTTAAAATACTCTAAAAATATTCTGCATTGTGTTTGCAAGTGATCTCTTACAAGAATCTCATACATCTCAACTCCTGTACGACCTATATTTTTTTCCTGAGGACTTGACTGTGCTGCAATTGCCTTTGGCATTGGCATTCCCTGGTTCACCTGAATACAATAATACAATTAATCTACTCCGTCTTGTCATAAGGATGCATGAGTCATCCCTTAAAAAAGAAAAAGACAATAACCATTGACTTATTCCATTGTGCCCTTTGTAGCTGCCACTCTACAGTGTAGGAAGATTGGTGTAGTTTTGAACCAAGAACCTGAGCTAAGAATAGTAATCCTTCAGACTTTTACCATCCTGACAAAAATCTGTGAAAGAGAAATAAAAATTAACACAAGTCTTTTCAAATTAGAATTAGCATGACACTTAAGGACAACAATTATTAAAAAAAAAAAGAAAATATAAGAGTAGATGTTAGTTATTAACAATCCTTATCTGTATTTACTAAGAGCACTTCAATGACTATACCCTTTGACCTAAAATTTGAGATTTGATATAAAGACGGAGGAGATCCGCAGTATATAAGCAAAGAACAGTGGGGAAAACTTCAGACCTTATTGCAAATATGACAGTCTAAATACCACTATAGGGATGCTCATATTTCTATTCATTCATCAGTATTTAATAGAAGGGGGAAATTATGGAGACATTTGGGGTTTTGCTACAATTATGTATGTTGTAGTTTGATGATAACAGAAATTTATTACAGCCCTTTAGCTACTCCACATACCTTCGTCTTAAACATTGAGTCCTTGTGAATCATTAGACTTTCACTCGATTCAGTCCTCAGTCTATGTTATCTTTTAGCCCTCCTTTTCTTCAGAAACCTTCTGTATTAGAAATTTTTCCCCTGGCTGTACGCAATTAGATTATCACAGTGGTAATATGATAAGACAAAAGGCATTGAAGCTGATCTAAGTCTTTTTTTCCCCTTGGGAAGTTTTGAACACGTTCCAAACCAAAAAGGCTGTTAATAGTAGCTTTGTTTGCCCGTTCACAGCTCCAGTTACACCTGAGAAGGTTAGTCTCACTTTCTCCAGTCTCCTAAGCTTTTAAATGTCGCAATAAAGGTACCAAAGGTCTGTTGACTCAGGTGGAGCTGCCACCGAGGTCCATTTCCACCTGCCTTGGCCCCAGTCCAGGGGCGGCCTTGGTGGCACACAGTTCAGCGCTCAGGATGAAAATGCACTTTCCAGAGACATCAAAGCAAAGCTGCTGTGCAACGAGGGCTCCCATGAGGTGTGCTCCCTTGCCAACAGCGTCGCTCTCTGCCTCTGCGGTCACCAGAGGCGCAGCGGGAGAGCAGCCTGGTTCACGCAGGCAACCGCAGGCAGGGGACAAGGAAGCACAGCACTTCTTCAAGGCACCCACTTCTTCAAAGACCTTCCCAGAAGTTGCCTCCTGATGGTCTAGCAGACGAGGACCTCCCAGTGTCTCAGTCCAGCATGTACCATCCACGATATTTATTGCTGTCTGGGAAAACAGGAGGAGGAGGAGGAGACTTGAGCTGGCTGATGGCTGTGATGGCGTTTGACTTCTAGAAGCTACAGTCAGTCAAGACTGATGCCGTGCCAGTTCGTACAGCGGTTTGTTCCTCTCAGAGCCCAGTGGTGACCAGATGCTGTACGCAATGGTTACCTGGCAGGGCAAATTGTGCTCGGTCACCTCTGCAACCCTCATGGCACCAACCCAGCAGAGCTGTGCCATGCCCTGAGGAGGAGTCGGGGATGTTGCAGCCTGGAGCAGGAGGGTTGCAGCCAGGCATTCTTGGAGTGACAGCCCTTTCGCCATCCTGCAACCCCCAAGATGTTTGTGCCACACAGCACTCCAAGAAGGCACCGTTAGCCTCGATGATCACTTGTTGTTGCTGCCAGTTGCCTTTTTTTTCTTTTTGCCTGGAGAAATGCAAGCAGATAAATTGGTGCTTTTGCCTGGTCTGAAGCAGAGCTATGATGTTACCCCAAAAAGTTATGCTGACTTCATTTGACTTCATGTGCTGATAAAGAAAAAAAAAAAAAAAAACCACAAATAAACCCCCAAAACTAGACTTGGGACATTAAGTCATTTATCCAGAATTGCTTTTGGCTGACAGTGAAGTGCTAGGTTAGGCTGTAGGAGTAATTATACCATCACGGCAACAGTATAATAAAGTTCTATATGAATTTTACAGAGGTGCCTGGCGTAGGCAGTAAGTCATAGACATAAGCTGTTACACAGGGCTGATCTTACAGCAGATCTGGACCACAAATTAGATCTTCCTGGATTTTTCCAGAACCCAGGTATGTGACATTCCTGTGTTCTTGGAGAAGAACCCCACGTGTCACCAACATGTTGCTTGGGAAAATTTCTTTATTACAGATGAGACTCTTCAAGACAGCAAAACTTTGAGTTCAAATGCAGAGACACTTTCAGGAATCAAGACAGTAATATCACACAAGAAATGTTGTCTCCCTGATTTTGTAATTGCATAATCTATATTGGAAATCAACCATAATGGAAATTGGCTCAGATAGCTCATTTTCTCAGCAAGAAAGACCTCCTTAAAGAACTAGTCACAAAATATTCAGACATTATGTATGAGGATCCATATGCAACCAGAAGAATCATTTTTTCTCTTTGCCGTACATGATTGTCCAGGTATTTTTAGCTGCGTCAAACCTTCTCCATCTGAAACATTTCATTATGCCACGCAATTTTTATGCAAAATTTAGTCTCCGTCTTAGAAAATCAGCAGTGATAGAAAATGGGGCTTAGAAGAAGGCTTAGGGAAGTACAACAGTAGTACTTGCATTCAAATATTTTGCTTGCTACTGCTGACTGCAGTGGAAACAGAAAACATTACAGGGCAGTTTCAACAGCGCTAGCCTTGCCTGAAGGGTAAATTGAAATACACACATTGCATCCCGCTGAGATTTATGGAAGTACCTTTCAGAGGTACATAGAGGTATCACACAGCACACATTTTGCCATGTACTCACAACTGCCCTGTGGAAAGGAAGGACTCTTGATCTTAATTTACTTTTGAGGAACTGGGAAACAAAATCATGTTTGCTGTGGAGCAATTACTGGTCATCTGGGTTCCCCACAACCCAGGTTGTATTTTTCACTAGCAGAGTCAAGATATCCACCTTGAGAGGAGGAAGCTGATGATTCAGGTACTGTGTTAAGATTTGAGACCCTAATATGGCAGGTGGCCACTAATTTGAGGGTTGTTGTTGGACTGCAAACTTTCCCATGTCTTCTGGCTGAGTTACGTCAATCCTGCCTCTTCTCATGAAGTGAGCCATCACCACAGAAAGCCTCTCGTGCTTGGATTTGAATCTTGAATTGTCAATGAAATTACTCAATGCAAGAAAATGACTCAATCCATCAAATTGCTCAACCGATGTGATCAGCTGCAGGAGTTTGCCAAGGCTTACGTGATCTGGTATGGAATGGGTTTCTTCACTTTATGTTTCAAAAGCAACCCAGCAAGAATGAAAAGCAACTGCCAGAGCCCTGACAGCAATAACAAATGGTGCAAAAGAAACATCAGCTGGAGCAGGAGCTGAATTCATTTCTCCTGGATAACAAAAGGGTCCAGCTCCAGGAAGGATGAGAGGACCTGGTTACATTTGATCTCTCATCTTGTTATTTCCAAAACATTAAAAAGTGTAAAAAATGGCATTCTAGATCAGGTCTAATGATCAACCAATTTCTTGCACTGATACATCCCGGGTACTCTAGGTACACATCCAACAAGGATTGTATTAGTAGAGCTTGTTTATAGAACTTAAACTGCAACTTAAGCATCTCGGTGTTACCATTAAGAAAACAAACAACAAACAAAACGCTTAGAGATCGCAAATTTGTCTGGGAAGTTTTCAAACTAGCTTATTGGAGACGGCAGCTACAAGTGCCAGGCAGTTCGGGAACAGGTGAGTTCCACAGAGCTGCCTGTGCTCTCTCTCATCAGACTCCCCGCAGAGCTGCTGAATTAGCATTTTTACAACGTGCAGACAAAGCAAGCTGATGTGAAGTGGAATTAATAGGCAAGAGTCAGTAAGCACATTCCTAATGTTTATTGCAGAGCTGCTGGTAGTTCAGCAGCAGCATAGTTTCATTCAGAATTAAGTTGGCATTTAAAGATGCTATCTGCTAAAGCAGATAAAGCTTTAGTTAAAATCACTGGCTTTCTGTTTCTCAACATCAGCTTCCCGAAGCTGTATTGGGCCAGCAACAACAGTCACTCTTTCTTGGCCAGCGCTTGCCTCTCTCTTGGACCTAGTAAGACAACCTTGGTAGCACCTGGAAGAATAGTCGTAGGCCCTGCACACCACTAGTTCACACTGCAGGTATACCACTGGACTGTGACGGATAAACTGGAAGGCATTGAATTTAAACCGGACTATGTGTCCGTAGGGTGAATAATACGTAGAATAGGTGGAATCTCGAACACACCTACAACAACGAAACAAAAGAAACTCTCATGAATACGCACTGCAAGCTGTCATTTGCACGCAATGTAACACATGAGGTGAAAAGTGATTTTTAAACGTGATGAAAACGGTTCAGAAACCTGCAATTAGGTAGGAAAAGCAAGATGCCCTTCTTTGGCAGCACTGAGCTGTGCTACCTCCCCTGAGCCTGTCGTGTGCCTAGATACCTAGTGTTTGTATGTTTTTCTGAAGGTGAATTATCCTTATCTGAGATATGTCACTGTTACATCTCTGATAATAATGGCTATAGCCATTTAGTCATTTTAATCTGGGGAGTGTGTGTTATATTTTGAGTCAATCCATCCCCCTTCCCCCAATAAACCCCAAATGCCCATGTTCATTAATTAGTTAGAAGCTGACATTAAAATATGCTATACTCACATTATTCCATTTAAAAATAATTGAAAAATGAGAAAAAAATAAAGAAGAGACACAGGAGTTCATAGGCAGTTTTATGCATAATTTTAAGACATAAGAGCTTACCCTTTCCTGATTATGTCATAGGTCACTGTTGTAAAATTGTCCGGAGTGGGAGATGCCACACACGTGTCCAAAAATAACACCAGGTTTGAATCAGAGCTGTGCAGGAAAGCTTCAAGATACAAATTCTGGTTGATATCAACATAGTATGGTGACTCATACACTGGCCACGAGAACGATGAAGAATGATAAAATGTAAGGTTTACATCATATCTGCCATACTGAGTTTCGTTGACCTCATAATTGTCCTCCGCAACATACATTATTTGTGCCCATGTGTTCTGGAGCATTTTGCAGTGGATATGCAAGTGAAGATTTTTAGTTCTTGTGATTACAGTACCAGAAGAGGATCCTCTAATAAGGTTGGAATAGGTTATTGTATTGTTGTTTCCCTGTTTGGCATATAAAATAAAATGCAAAATTAATTCATATAGACAGGTTTCCTATTATGCATTCTAAACTTTGCTACATCCTTACAGCAATGTGCACAGAAAATGCATTATTTCCCAGAAAGCCTACCGTGGAGAAGCCTGAACCCAGTCATTTCTGTTCTTAAGATAAGAATCTGTAATCTGCATGTAATATGCAGTGACTACAACGCAAATCTAGAAAACTACTTACACTACACACAGACATAATTAATGAAATACAACCTGTACAATTCTTTGAACATTGAATGCCTGCAGGGTATGGTCAGCACGGTATTTAAGCTTAAATCTGACCTAAATCACAATTGGTCATATTTAGTAAAGGCTTTGAGACCTTTTTAGCTACCACACTCAGCTTGGGAACTTGAAAATGCCAAGTATTTGCTTCCTACCGCACTTTATTCCTTCAAATGTCAGTAACAGGCTATAAGTGAATACTCTGGCAGCAGATGCAGGAAATATGACTGTTAATAAACCTTATCCCTCAGGAGAGGGAGAGGCAGCCCATAATCACCAGGATGCTTCCAGTCTCTGCAGACTGCAGTATAGCTTTCAATTTGTGCTGGTTTTCAAAATGAACTCTTTGGTTTGAATTTTTGTACGCTCACAATATTTGTACATTCTGTTGAAACGTTTAAAGTCATACCTCTCTCACTGTGCCACAGCCAGTGTATGGTATGTCGAATATAACATACTGTGATGTGATGTTGGGTTTGCAATAGGGGTCATTCAAGAAGAGTTTCCAAGGAGAGTAGCCTTGTGACTGAAGGTAGTATCTGCTCACAACTGCACGCATGTAGTCCGGCAAACACAACAGTGCTAGCAGATGGCAAAGAAAATATATTACAAGCTCATTGAAGTGAGTGAAAAAGGTTGTACTTAAATAAACAATATCTTTTGCAGAAGCAGCTGATATTGCAGAAGGAGTTCAGAATCCAAACCTTATACTTCCATCTCTATGAGATGCTACCGATCTAATTGAAAATAACATGAAATGAGTGATTCATTGAAGGGGTACAAGATTAACAATTGGGAAATAACTGAGAAGCAGGTTTCTGCTTTAAACATGAACTTACTAGTGCTCTGATCTGCTGGACTGGAATAATAGTCAGCCTGAAACCCTCTGTATGTATATCGAGAGTTGCTGTAAAATCGGACAGTCAGCAGGTTTGAGGAAGATTTGTATGTGCGAAAAGAACCAGAACAAAATTTCGCGAGGAGAGGAGAGGTATAGAGTGGCCCATCATAGACTTCCACATAATCAGACAGACATCTGCCGCCTTCCATCCTGGGGAGCAAACATGAATATTTAGTATTTATGCTTCTTTTTTAAAATTTTTATTTGATTTTCCTTTTTTTTTTTTTTTTTTTTAATCTCAGATAACTGTTCACAGCAAAGAGTACATTTTACTGATACGACTATCAAATCTTTGGAACAGAAATTACAGCCTCCAATTTCTGTCTCATTAGCCACATTATTCACTAAATAAATGAAAAAAATACATTTTTCATCTCAAAAGTACTAAAAGCTGTGAAAAACGTCCTTGAAATCAAGCAGCTAACAGCTTAGTAAGTTCAAGTTGCCCATCTCGTACATCATCTTCCCATGTAATACATTTTTACTTACTGAACATCTCTAAATGTGAGTGTGACGTAAAAGTTGTTCTTTACTTCTATTTCCCAAACACAGTTGGCATTGTTTGGATAATTTCTGGGGTAAAATGGACTCTGTAATGTCCCAGATGGAGAAGAAAGCAAGCCGCCACAAGAGTAATCTTCTGCAGAGGAAAATACAAGAAGAAAAATATACATATACACCATTTAAGGTTGCTTTTGGAATATGTCTATGTAGAATTTATGAGTCTAAAAGTTGGAACCAGTGACTTCTACCAGCTCCAGTGGTCATTCTCTTAGGTTTATGTATCATCTGAATGCTGGTTAGGAGATGCTAAGCACACAGAAGGGTTTTTATAATGCTGAGCTTCAGTGTCTGCACTAGCAGGATAGAGAATTTGTCATAGAATTGCACAATCATAGGGGTTGGACTTCTGGAGGTCAGCTGTTCCTCAAAAGAGAAGTCACAGCTGAGCCTGGTTCACCTCTATTACAGTTACTAATGATCAAAGGGAAGGGAAAAAAAGGATAAAAAATATTTTGTTTCTGAATAAGAATGCTGACAAATATCCAATTCATAAACATGAAGACCTTATGTCACAGTCAAAACATTGTATAAGATTATATATAGATCAGCTGCAACCTATCAAAAAAAAGGCAAATCAAGTCTCAGAAGTAAGAGTCGTGTATTTCTAGGATAGTGCAAGATCAAACTACTCCAAGAAAAGAGAAACATGTAAAAGGACATAATCTTTGAATTATATTGCAAATTAGAAAAAACACACATTTACTTATTTTAAGCTAAAGAAAGACCAAGATACCTGCATAGAAAGAGCCATGGAGGACTAAGAGATGGCCAATTTTTTTCAATTTCTAGCAAACATGAAAAAAACATTCTCGCGCTACATGACCTTACATTTACAATGAAAACAAACATTTGTAATATGCACTATCCTCAAATGATGTGGTTAAACAAACAGCTTAAAAAGAAATCAGAAGAATAATAGTACTTTAGAAGCGGTCAAAAACAACGCTTTCTAAGCACTTGTGAACTTACTGCTCAAGAACAAGGGAATAAGCGACTGCACTGGGTGTGAAATAAACTGCATGGTTTTTGGGGGGTAATTTGACGCATTGTTCTTTTGGTATTAGATGAGGAGGAAAATAGGCACAAATATGAGCATTAACATTCTACTCACTGGCTACAACTATGACAGACAATGCCTCTGCCTGCACTTGCACAAACACAACTCCAACATGTAAGTCCCCATCTAGAGACACCATCTCAGATGCTCCATATATGATCTGCCTGAATATCATGAAACACTTTTTAACACTGAGAGTGACTGAGCAGAGGCACAGAGCTGGTGGGCTCTGCATCCTTGGAGACAGCCAAGAGACCTCCAGGTGCAGTCTTGGGCACGCAGCTCCAGGTGGCCCTGCTTTAAGCATGGGGTAGAATCAGGTGTCCGCCAGAGGTAGGTCCAACCGCAACCCTCCAATGATTCTCTCCTCCGTATCTGGGTGCAGGAGCTACTCAGACCACTCAAACTCTCAGCACATACCTGGAGTCGAAGACATGGTGGGACTCGAGCTGGAGATATCTGATGCTACAGGGAGAGAGTAACAGGTGAGCGAGCAGCATTTTGCCCAAGAGAAACAACCCTCCGGGAGTCACCCCTGCCCAAAAGGACTCCCGGGAAATGGAAAGCTGAGACCCAAAGTCTCCACCTGGATGCGTGACAGGTCCCTGTGGGGCTGCACCTCAAAGCCTTCCCCCTCCATCCCACCAGCCCAGAGCACAGGTCGTATTCCGTACATACAATAGCTCCCATCAGCAAGGCCTCACCTGCTAATGCAGGAAAGTCTTGGTTTAAGGATTGGGAGGATGGGACAGAGTAGAGCCTCAGCAAATTTGCTGAGGACACCAGGCTGGGAGGACCAGCTGATGTACCACAGGGTCCTACTGACATCCAGATAGACCTGGTCAGGCTGGAGAAATGGGCCAACAGGAACCTCATGCAGTTCAACAAGAAGAGGTGCCAAGTCCTGCTCCCGGGGAAGAATAATCCCAAGCACCAGTATGCACTGTGGTCTGCCTGGCTGGGAAGCAGCTCTCCAGAAAAGGTCCCAGGGCTCCTGGTGGACACCAAGTTGAACATCAGCCAGCAATGCTTTAGCAGAGGGTACTTGGAGTAGTTGACCTCTGGAGGGCCCTGCCAACCTCAGCCATCCCATGATTCGGTGATCCTCAGCAAGGGTAAG